ATTATCATTTAAGAAAGATTAGAGTTTAATAAAAATGGATATGCATTATTTATTGTTAAACTCAAATGATATTCAAAATTAATAGGCTCAAAAGACTTTAAACTTGATAGATTGCAATTAAATTTCTAATTTTTTTTAATAAAAAGCTACTTAAAACTAATCATAAATGGATTCAGCGATATTTATATTATTTACTAATTACAAAATATTATCTATTTTTGCTAATTTTTGATAATTTTCATTATCTAACACCAACATAAGTATTTTTTGAATTCCTATTTAAGTAACTTTTATTGCTCATATAAAAATAGAACAATAACTTTGCTATTCACTTTATCAATCACTTTTATTAGATGGATACTTAATTGAAATAATGAAATTAGAGTGCTCTGTTAGATCAGAGTTACTAATTATTTTGTTAATACTAATAGATATTTTGCAATTCTAGTTTATGATAAAAATGAATTTGATGAAATTTTTCTATAAGCTAAAGTATTTTATGTATAAGTCCAGTTGATAAATGAGAGTCATTTAAACTTTGAGCTTTAGTAAAGTGATGCTTGAATTGTGAAATAATTCATGTTATGCTTGTTACAATTAACCTTCATTATAGCTAACGCAGTTACTTACTTAAAATAGAATGCTTTTACTTGAATCTCGATTAGTTTTTATTATTCTCATTAAAATATTTGTTCAATTAATTGATTTATGCTGTTTCATTAAGAAATAGCTTAATTAATTTCCTCATTCGAAGATTTATATTTGTAAGCCTAAAAGTCAGGTAGTAGAAGAACAGAGAATATTAATGTTATGCCTAATTAATTGCTTTTTTCAAGAATACTTTCTATAATGAATTGGTTGTTGTAATAAATGGAATATATATTCTCTGTCAATAATCAATTAATTTAAAAACTTGATTTGAAAAGATCATCAAAAATTTAATCAATAAATGAAGTAAGGAATCTTTATAATTTTGAGGAAATATCATCATTTTTAGTTAAGCATTATTTTAATGTAATAGTCTTCTTGTAGATTTAATTTTATGTTTAAATTTTTACATCTGAAAGTGATAAACTTCCAATTCAATTCAATTCATATAATTTTATTTTATATTTTTTTAACTTAAAATTAAATTGTATAATAAAGATAACTAGAAATCTAACTAATGATTAAATGAGGTTTTTTGTCCAGAAAATTAATAAAAAGTAGTTTATTATGATTCAGCTTTTAGTGAATCATAATAAAAGAAAACTTTGCTGGAAATGTATTTCAAATTTGAATAAGAATTTGAAACTCATAGAAGCCTTATAAAAGTAATTTCCTTTATTAAGAATATAGTCCTGTTGGAATTGTAATAAAAGAGAAATAAGAACTTAAAATATATTACACAAAGAAAAAAAATTTCATATATCATAAGATAGAAATAACATATATTGATACTTAAGTTGACTTAATAAAGATAGTTAAAAATGAATCTCAAGAAACATTGCAAATTACTAACAATGAGGATTTTTTTTAATTTTACAAATTGATTTTTAAAAAACTTCTATAGATAAAAATATTAAGGTCTAATTACAACGTTCTATAAAATATTAATTTAGTATAAATATTAGTCAATTAAATTAAATATAAAAGATCAAAAAAACTTATTATAAATAATTTAAAAATCAATATGAAACATTATTTAATTAGATAAACATTGATGATTAAATATTTTAAGAAAATGCTTTCGAGGATTTAGATATGAAATATTTGAATAATAAGTCCGATATTGATCAATCAATTATTTTTTAAATAAACACTATAATTTAAAGAATTAAAATTTTTAAATGTATTTGTTGTGTTGATTCTATTAAATTTCATTATGGATGTTTTTATTACTATTTTTGAATTTATTTTTTATATCTCCTTTTCTATGTATTTTAAAGAAACCATTTCCAGAAATTATCCTGCCATTTAAAGTATAAAAATATTTTATTAGAAAACTATTTTTAATCAATTTTTAATTTATAATTACAAATTTCTATATGTAAATAAAAAAAATTAATTTTGAGAAATCTTAATTAATTAATTTGCTATTTTAGAAAGATTTTAAAAACAGATTACTTTAATCATCACTTGTTGATAAATCGAAAAGATTTCAAGTTTAATATATAATAATAAACTTCGGATTTTCACTTAATTGAAAAAATATTTATAATTGAACTATATTCTCCATATACATTTTTTAAAGTTTCTTCATTCCACATTTCTGTACATTTTCCAATTTTTTTCATAATCTTACCATTCCAAATCATCACTGTTGGTAAATTTATTCTAAATTATTGATTTTTTCAGATTTATCAGAGGTGTTGTGATATTAATCACTAATCAATTTATATCATAGAAAAAATACTTTCTTATAAATATGTCATCTCAATATTATTGGATTGTTTATTTCAGTAAATGTGACTTCAAATTTTTTTCTTTTTTTTCTAGGTAGATTCCTGGTTTTTTTTTTAATTTTTCTTCTAAAGATTGTGATTTTTAAAATAAATTGTCCCCTTTAAAAATAATACAATTCAAATTGTTTTATTTAATATAATAATTATTAACTGTAGAGCGCTTTTTCAAAATAGGATTGAGAATTTTTTTAAGAATGATTACTTGTATAATTTATCGCTAATTAAATGAAAAAATTCATAATCCTTATAGTCATGTTATTGTAATTTTATTGATTGAAAGTTTCATATAAAAGTGAGTAGAAAGGAACTATCAATATCAATTAAGAATTTTATTTATAAACAAATTTATATTTGAAACGAACTAAAACGTTAATGAAATTTATAGTTAAGAATATAAAAATAAAGAAATACTTGAGCAATTTAATTTCAATTAATAAGAAATTTAGTTTAAATGATACACATAAGATTGAAGCTATATATATATATAT